CTACTAACGATTACCGAGTGATTTAAATAAGTTCTTGGCACATGATATCCCTTTAATGCGCGAAAGTTGTACTTTATTTGTTCACTTCTCAGTCAGATATGATATACGATGCATGATAACTACACGATCAGAAAAATCGACTTAATCAGTAACATTTTTAACGAAGGCGATTAATAAATTTCAAGATAAAAAATTAAAACAAATTTACGTCTCAGAAACAATTGAAAATTATTTGTTCAACAAAAATTATCTTATATATATTTTGGTACATATATCGTAAGAACGAATCCATCATGTTTGTCATTACTTTTTCTAGAGTATGCTGAAATTATCGCTAATAGATTACTGTGAGCGTAAGGTATCAGGATGGATTGTAAAGTTAAATCTCTTGTAACTAATGTTAATATTAAGGTAAAATTCGCGTCATGCTACACTTTTAACAATTGCAAAATTTCTAAAATGCTTAGTAAAAAGATACTAAGCGTAATTCTATAAAACTTCTGAAGAAGTAACTGTGTGGCATCTGACTTTTGAAGAAGCTACAGCGTGGCAAAACAATATTTTTAAGTGAAATTCACAAGGGCCTTTTATTTTGTTGTCTTTCTTAATTTTGTTTGATGAACCAGACGAGTAAAACATTAAATTTATGCATATATGCCGAGATGAAATTTATAGTTTATTCTTAGACCTTTTTATGACTCTGAGTGCTTCAAGAACTTAAGTAGGTTTGTCAATAAAGATATTTTCAGTTCAATGTTGAGGTCTACTACTACAGATATGCGTACAACTGTTTAGGTACATATCTTGTTAACATGTGTTGTTAGAATGTTTATTTATTTTATATACATAGTCGTCAAATATTTACCCTTGTGATCGTTTGCCGCAACTGCCTACTGAAATTAAACAGTTTATTGTAGGTAGCCCCTCTTGTGACAGATGTAAATTTATTTTCTAAATAATTAAATTTCATATTTAAGTACCTATTGTTTTTGTCCATCATAACAAAATTTCATTGGATGATTTTACTTACCTACGTTGTATAATAAAATCAGCAACTAAATAGAAATAAGTGTATAAAATTAATTTTCTTAAAATTCATTCAAACAAGTATTTATAATTCACGTTTTTGAAGGGATAATTCAAAACTGGTACGTTTTCTGATTGTTTCCGAGGTTCTATTTTTCTTTTTTTGTTTTTTTTTTTTTTTAACAGAGGGCGTTTAATTAGAAATAGGCGAGATAAGTTGGTAGGACACCTTATAAAATATGAAGAGTTCGATGGAGACTTATTAAAGAGGAATTAAAAAGGGCAGAGGTAGACCTAGACTACTTATTAAAGATATAATAGCTGCGTATCCTTCTGGTGATAATGAAAAAACCGTAAAGCACAAAATTGCTTAAGAAGAAATAAAGTCCAAGTTAATTTTTGAAATTGTCGAAAAATATGTCTCCAAATTAGGCAAATTTTAACCGATGTTAAGTATGTTAGAAGCTTTATTTTTCATAATTGTGAATAACAAGCTTTTAACTTTTAGTTATTACTTAATATTTCTTTTAATCGTTTATTCGTTATAATAATTGCATTTATTGTAAAACTAGTAGAAAATAAAATTCAAGTCTCAGTACTGCTTTTTATAAATTATGATAATAATATATATGATTAGCAAGGTATCTATACAACAATAGAGTAAACAACAATTTGTCCATAAATACCACGCTATTGATATGCGATGACCACTGAGTTTGAATCTAATGAATATACATCAACGATTTGCTTTGATCAAAGCGAATAGTAAAAGCTGGAGGACGAAACTATAAGATACTATTTATAGATAGTCCTCATGTGTGAAATGTTTTCGTTATTTTTGCTCGACAAGTCGATAATATGAAAAGTTCATATTTGAAAACATAACTGTTATCGCTAGATAAGGAAAGTAATTCAACATTAAAGATTATTGCAGTCTAATTTTTAATTTTTCACACTTATGTGTATCAAAATAATTCATGCACTTGGAAATAAACCTCTGTTCTCTATTCATGTTTATAGATGAACCTGTCGCTGTCACAGGAAGTTTACTATTCTAGATTTGTATCTAGTTAATCACAGGAATAAAAAGAGATTGAAAAAATATTTGTGAAATTGAATTAATAAAAAAACAAAACAAAAAGCCCATCGTCCGTTACCAGTCTAAAAATATGATATGATAATGTAATTACTTGGTGGGAACAGGACTGTAATGTGAGAGAAGGCTTTTCATGTGAATAAAAAATGCTTCACATTGCTGGTTAGGGATTCCTACAGGCTTTGTTGGAGTTAAATTTTAAACATAATATCTGTACTGAGTTATAATTTCTAAATTTTGTTTAGCCTGTATGAATTAATAATTTTATTCGTAAGTGTAAAAGGACTTTCAGTTTTTCCCCGTTCCCTTCTAATGCCTTATCGGATTAGTTAAATTTTTGTGTATTTACAAACCTATATACATTGTTATATACACGATCATCTTCATGACTAAACTATGAAAGCGATTACAAAATCCGAATGATTCCAAAAATAGTAAATAGCAGTTCACTTTAAAGATAATAATACCCTGCGCCTCCGCCAAAATTAGATAATTAAGAAAGCCAATTTTATTTTCATTCTTGACATTTTGTTTCTTCTAATGTGCTATTTTTGCTAAGTAAAGTGTATGATATTGTATTATTTGTGTTTATTAATGTATAATTTACTTTAATGGAAATAAGGATTGCAATATTTGTGTATAAAACATTTCATCTTCTTCATTAAATAAACAAAAAATCACGCGACTAATAGTTCCAGGATAACTTTCCAAAAATTTCCTTACTTCATAAGTTGCGACTTTAGATGCTGGTTCTTGTGGATATCCATAAACCCCTGTTGAAATACATGAAAAAGCAATAGTCTTCAGATTATTTTCTTTCATCAAGTTCAAACTATTTCTGTAGCATTTAGCAAGCAGATCTGGCTTCTCTCCTTGAGGGCCTACAGTGTGTATAACGTCTAAAATAATATAATACTTAGCATAATTTTAAGTAATTAATGTAAACAATACATGCACATACATTTAGCCGGTAACAAATAACCCCCAGTGATTCTTGCTTCTCCAGTAGGGCAGCCACCTAAAGTTTTACATTCTTCTACTAGAAGAGGTCCAGCAGCCCTATGTATGGCACCATCAACACCACCTCCACCCAGCAAAGAGCTATTTGCTGCATTTACAATAGCATCAACCTAAAGCATAACCTTAAAATTACACTATTTGTAACTGTACTGCATTCTTACTTCTAAAGTCGTAATGTCGCCTCTATATATAGACACCAAGTCTACTAAGGACTGATTTTTTGACGAATCTATTTTTTGGGAGGGTAGAATTTCTGCCTTTTTTGGTAGAGTTGTTTTGGCAGCGTACTCTTTCCAAGTCGGTATGTCGGAAATAGTTACAAACGATCCTTTTGATTTATATAACTTTCTTTTTTCCTCGATGGGCATTGCCAAGAATTTTTGCTTTTCTTGTTCCCACTGACCCATTCCTAATTTATTTTTTAATGTACTGAGTAACTTAAATTGATTTGCTGTATATTTGAGGTTATATAGTAATCGTTTGGCTGTCATCATGGTTGTCATCATAGATNAATTTTTAAACATAAGTTAACTGTTCTTTTCATAAAAGCTATTATAGAGGTTTTACTTTCAATAATATTAGTATCAAAATACCTCATAAATTTGTAAAAACCTAACGGATTAGACCAATGATAATTAAAACAATTTCTTAATTCAAATTGAAACAATTTCCTTTAATGTAATTTTTGAAAAATGTATGTATACAAGAACTATTATTTTCATTCTTTTATACGCGAAAGCTCATATAGTTTCCAACAGTTTTACTTTGTAATTATTGTAACCAAGTTGACCTTTTGGGACCGGTGATAAAGGACTCTGATAAGGTAAAAGATTCTATAAAAATATGTTTAAATGTATTTTGCATTTATTACTATTGTGTGAGAGAGTATCTACGTATATGTCTTAACTTCAAGTCTTTTTTTGTACACTTAAAGAAGAAAAATCACTGTAATTTAAATTTGTCCTTTGAGGTAGGTCGCTTGAGATTATCGATTAATATTTGATTAATTGTTAATTATGGCTAATTGTTGGTTGAAATATTAAAATGAATGCGATATTCCAAGCCAGTATCCTTAAATTAATCAGAATTGAGTCATTGGAATATGTCTAAAATTGAAGAAAAGTTTGGTCAACTTTGACGCCTCCTGGCGGGAAAAGTAACAACGGGAACGAAAAACTACCCATTGAACATAACTCAGGGATGCTCTCTCTATACTTACATATCACTAATCTCAGATGATCTATCCTGAAGGATAAATTTTGCATTGGTGTGATTTTCTTCCATCCTAAATTGCTTGCCATGAAGAAGGTTCCCACCATTTTTGTGGTTATAAAGGTCTATTTTCGTAGGCTTAGCTAATAACGAAACTATTTAAAAAAACAAGGGTAGGTCATCAGCTATTGCCTGTAGGTACAAGGATGTATCGTGAGCGTGCAGTTATCATCAGGGGAAATGGTTTATTACATGTCCATCCATCAGCGTGATAGCGCGACCAGTAGCCGTTTCGTCATTGTGGCACGACCGACCGCATTCGTATCCCCTGTTCCGCGGCAGTCAGCTTCCCATGGGAACGGAGAAAATCTACAGCTTCTGCCTCTGCCTGGAAGTAATCACATTGCGAGTGCGTCGATTCGAGTTGTTCCTGGACCGAAAGAGCAGCAAGCGGAAGAGTGTGTTTGTTACAAAGCTGATCCTGGATCTATCCGAAACAATTTTTTTAACAGTAACTCAGTCAATCGGTTTATTTCTCCTTGTCTCATTGCATTTTTCTATATTATTGCGATGGTCGAAGCTTATCGTTTTTGCAACGTGCACGGTTTTATCAGTCCGAAGTAAAGCTGCAACTGCGTCGCACTCTTCGAAAGATCAATCAAGTGCTTCAGTGTTCACCAGCATCAGCCGCACTTGTTGTTACATCCACATAGTAAGTGCTTGATACGCGTAAGTAGCAACTTTTGTGTGTTCAACGTCGTTAATTGAGGACGTGAGAATGAGCGGGTTTTATTATACGTGTGTGTTGGAGGGATGCTGAGCCGCTCTGGTAGTAATACGCCAGTGTTTACCCCCGGTGACCTAGTTTTTTCTTTTGTTTAAGTAGGGCGTTTACCCTCGGTGACGTTTGTCTGAACTTTAAGACGTATATTTTTAAAAAACTTATATCGTAAAATCTAAAAGAAGAACTTAGAAATGTAAAAAAAGCGTGCAAGTATGTAGACAACCTTTTGAAAGTAGTTTAACATTGGAAGTAATTAATTGTTCAGTAAATTTAAAAAAGAAGCACAACTGATTCAATTAAAGCAAGGAAAATATTTGCAATAGTTAATAGAAAAAAAGATAATTGTAAGAGTCTAAGATAGAAAAAAGAAAATTTAAAACAAGCCAGATCCTTTTTAAATCTTTTTCTAAAAATCTCTCATGTATGAACAATTCTTAATAGAAATAATATTTGATTTGTCATGAATAGGTTGAGATGCTTCCATAATTACATACTTATTAATTTCATGCTTGCATGATGGAATTATATATAAACGAAGGAAATAATAATTACGTATAATTATGTTAATTCGTTGCTTTTGCCGGTTACTTTGATTGTTTATATAATCGTACCTATACTCAAGAAAAACTTATTTGTTTTACTTTGCAAGGGAGTCAGTGGTCGAATGGTCCATTAAACTAGAAAAGGCAATTGCATTTCTTATAGTTGCTTTATTATTCACGAATTATTTATTTAATAACTGCTGTAGAACATGTACCTGGTATTAAAAATACTGTTTATATGTAATTAGAAGGAAAATAATTGACTTTCATCTAACGGGTTCGTGGACCTATCCTGTCTCATTACGGAAATGATGATTTAATTCAAGTTTATTACTTAGTCAGTCAGCTCTCAAATGATACCTGAAATGTTACATTTTTCGAAAAATATCAAGAAAGCATTAGGAGATTGTTTAGTAGTTATGATAATCCTTGATTTGAATTCTAGCCAAAACAGAGGACTTTAGAAATGATTCAGCTAACATTTCATTTGTTTTTATTTATTAAAACACATTTTCGATTACATATTTCAATAATATGAGTGTTCACTCGCGGTTAACTTCATATTTTCGAATTTCAATTAACTATGCGCGCGCAGCTTCCGTTGCAACCTAAAATATTACTCCAAGGAGTACAAAATACTTTATTTCTCAAACAGGGTAAATATATATAGAGTACGCATGTAATAGCATCATGTGTTATATTTATATTTTAAAGTATCAAAATACCTCNCTGCAGAAAGTTCACTTTTAAAAGGACGGTGCTTTAAAATTTTGTGAAGTTTATATTATAAATATAAATTTTACAATTTTATTGGCTTGCTTCATTTATCTTTCTTTTTTTTCTGATTATCTTTTTCTTCCATTTGAATTTCACATGAAGAAGTTCCGCTTTAAGAGCACATAAATGAAAAGGATTTTTGTGGATACTGGAATTATATCAATCAATTCTATTTTTTTTAAGCAATAAGAGCCCACGCAGTCCACAATAAATCAGTTATTCCATTAGGCGTAAAAGTTATTTATTTGTTATGAATTGATTTTCCAATTATTTCGTCGTTACTTACGCCCGAGCCATTAATTGTTTTTCAACAGAAACAGTGGTTTCCTCCTCATTATGAATAAAACATCCCCAAATTGAATGAATAGTTCAATAACCTTCCTGTTCTTTTTTTTTCGGTTGTTTCCCCCTCTACGTTTGGCAGTTGTGAGTCGACAAATGTTATGCTTGTTGTGTTTAAACGCACACACAAAATGTTTATGACATTCGGAATTAGTACAGAACGTGCACATGTGTGGTGTGTGGAGATGTACAAATGAAGAACGAAATGATACATATCTACATACATATACGAACTAAAAGTATATTATTATTAAACGTCCACTTGTCTGATAACCAGCAACATCCTCCGAGCGAAATTATTCTGTAATTTATTGCTAAATCAACTTTAAAACTCTTTGTCGATTGCGACTACCTGGAAAGTAGGTATAACAACCAAATCTAAAATTCAAAATGCGCAATTCTATTTTCCATTTTCAATGTCTTTTTCTAGTTGAAATAATATCCATTTGTAATTAGGCCGGTTTGAAACTTTTTTTATTTTGAAGATGCTAAATGCGAACTGCAGTATTGACAATTCAGTATTGTATGAATTAAAACTAAAATACTGGTATGCAAGGGAAGAAAAAGTAGGGAATGAGCGAATATAATGATAGGAAACGAAAAATTAGAAGAAGTGACTGATTTTCGGTATATAGGAAGTCAGATAAGTCAGGACGGAAGGAGTAGTAGGGATATAAAGCAGAGGATAGCGCAGGATCGAGTCGCTTTAAAAAGAAGGCACTTCTATGCTCGCGAACGGTCAATTTATGAATTCGAAAAAAATTGGTGTAGAGGTAGAGGTAGATTTAGAATAGATTACTGTTTATGCAAGGAGAAAACTAAATCTTTATGACAACATAAAAATTACAATTTTCCATTGTAAATAACTAAATTTGTCGTAGTAATTAAAAAATTGATTAGGTAACTTGAAATAATCTCAATTTTGACATGTTTTTTTAAAATTTAATTCAAGTTTCCTAATTATTACAATTTAATTTACAATATCAACTAAAATACCTAGTAAATTTATTTCTACTGGGATTTTATTTTTACAAATTCAGGTCCAAATTGCTCCCTGGGATGAATTGTAAATATTGCTTTAATATCTAGGTAAATTTTCCTTCTGCATTTTCTCCATGGAAATAGTTAAGGACGTAGTATGTTCCACTACATGGGAAATGCGAAGATTAGCTTAGGATAGAAAAAAGTGGAGGAGCGTGTCCAACCAGTCTTGGGACTGACGATCTTCTGAAGATGATGAAATAGGAATTACAAAACCGTTATGTTGTATAATAATTTTTTGTAAGAAAAGCAGTACTTACATTGATATTTGTAAAATGTTACTGATATTGATAAATCTCTGTTTCAAACTGCATATTTTTCTTTTATCATTAAATTGAAAACTGAATGAAATTGAATAATATGAATTTTTATTTCAGATGCTTCAATGAAGAAGAAAACGATGTGGTAAATTTTTTTGGTGTTCAAGACCTAGTTACTTTTGTCTCTTGAATTGATCTCAACGCGATGGAAAATAATTCTGTATCTCCAATGCCAGAACTCGCCCCCATAGCAGAGTTTGACAAAACTCCACCGTCACCAACGGAAGAAACGGCCGTACCGATGGCAGATCTTCCATCACCCCCTAAAACAATGAGTGCTCAAGAAGAAAAAGCTCAACTGGAAGAGTAAGTACCCTAACTAAGTATATCAAAGTTCAAAAGTGTTGGTATTTTTTTCAGATCTTTACAAAAGCTTTTTTTGTTATATTATAATCACGTTTTGTGTCTATTTATATTTACAAGAAAGAAACAACGTTTTCAAAATATTTTATTTGTCATAAAAAATAATGAAAAATTAATTGTTTTAGTTTCATTTCTCTATTTTCTAGGACTTTCTGAAAGGTTTTGTACATCTCGAATGATAACTAAATCCATTACAGATTTAAATTCCTCATAGGTAGGGCTTTATGTGTTTAATTTGTTAATATAAAAGAAAACTCTCTAAAACCTCGAAATTGCATACAATCTGCAGTATTTTTGATACAATTTTAGCAAATAGAACTAAATTTGTGTATTTTTGTACCAATTTATCTTTCGCATTACATAGTTACTTCCGGGCTCATTTTTATTTTGTTTGATGAGAATAGCAATTCTATTTATTCCATAGTCTAACTATTTTGGTGGATGCGCCGGGCGAAAAGCTTCTATATTACATACCTCGTCTTTATTCTAAGATAATCTACCTCCAATCGTAATTTTTGGTTAATGAATGAAGTTTTTTTTATAATTGCATGGTACAAAGACATTCAATCCTGTCGAACTTAGTTTCATTGTAAGCAGGACAATGAAATACTTACGCTTACGCTTAAATAAAGAACTTGTAACTTCATCATATTAATAGAAGAAAATACAAGTTTTGGTTGTAAATTATTTATATATCCCACAAAAGATATTCGCCATACAGTAGCTTTTTAACTTTCCAAAAAATATGTAAACAAGAGTTGTGATTTTTATGCTGCTTCCGTTGGCTAATCGACTCTGCTATCAAATTAAAAGACTTGAAAAGACGACTTCAAAAAATGAGTTATTACCGGGGTTGACTTTAGTAGTTTATTTTTAATTGAAGCTCGTTATATCCCTTACAGAAATTAGGATGAACAAGTCTATTTGGATATGTTTACCCTGGTAGCTTGCTAAAGATAAATAAGCGAAGTAACGTAGAAAAAGCTGGCATCAAAGTTCTGTAAATTAAACCAGGTCTTTAGGATGTTTCTATCCTCTCTACTTTCATATTTTGCATATATAAAATATCCTTTTTACGGTATTACGGTATTGCAATTACGTAGTAAAAAATTGGGTTTGTGTTCATTACTCAAAAAGCGAAGTACATACGTAAACTTCTGTCCTAGTCCCGAAAGTTACATAATTATATTCCTTTGAAAAGCATGCCTGATGTCTTTGAAATTGTAGGAAGCTTAATGGCTGCAGAAAGTTCACTTTTAAAAGGACGGTGCTTTAAAATTTTGTGATGAGCTACGCCATTGAATTATTTATGGCTGCCTTTCTACTGTACCTATATTTTGCTTCGCATATCCAATTTTACGTTCATGATGTAGCAAAAATTTCTGTGTCAACTCCCTTAGAAGTTTTTAAAGCGAGAATCTTCGAAGTCAAANATTGTTGAAACAACAATTTTTAACTGCGCTCTTAGCGGCCAAGAATTTCGATTGCGATCAACAGTTCATGTTTGGTCAATCGCAAAATTATTTATAATAAGGAATTGATTGTTGCTACTTTTCTGATTATTACCTATTCAGCAGTATTATAACGTTTGACTGCTTAATGGTAAAGATATGTTTTATTATCGTATGCCACGCAATGTTAAATTATTGTTTTTAAGAAATCAATGACTGGTTTATATCGCAGGCTATTAAATGAAGTCAATCTGTGGAACTAAATGTTGTGCGACAAACAGAACATAAAAAGAACGTGTAATTTTAGTACCTAATAATACGGTTAACAATTGTTGTAATATTTGACATAGTCTATTATTTGTATGCTAGTTTTTCAGTTGATGGACTTTTCAAAATTTAAAAAAGTTTTAGATACGGTACAACTATTCGTTAAATTGCAACATAGTTTCTAAAATATAACACTTTTTTAATTGGATTATGGTGTTTTGTCTCACAAAGCTCTATTTTCCGCTTAGGATTTCTTGAATCACGAATAAAAGTGTCAATAGTGTGCAATTATAATTAGTTACGAAATAGTCATATTAGAGATCAACCTGTAATTTCATTATAATAAATAAATTTACCTTCGTATTGTATAATGACATTTTTAAGGTATTTACACAGTTTGTTCAATTACAAAAAAAGTCTATGTACTAATGCATGTAGTAAAGGGCAAATTCTATTAGTTTTATTAAATTGTAATATGGACTTTCGTACTATTCTTTTTCTCAAAAACAACTATCACATTAGTGTTTCATCATTATCATAAGGTCGTCAGTCCTAAGACTGGTTGGACACGTACCTCCACTCTTTCCTATCCTGAGCTAAACTTTGCATTTCCCTAAAACTGGAACAACCCACATCCTACAACCTAGGTCTACCTCTACCCCTCCTAACTCCTGTTTCTGCCTCTAATATGTCTCTGACTAGACCTTCATGTCTGAGAAGGTGTCCCACTAACCTATCTCGCCTATTTTTAATTGACTTCCATAGAGTCCTCTGTTCTCCTATTCTTTCTAATATCTCTTCATTTCTAACAGTTTCTACCCACGTTCTTCTCATCATTCGCCTATAGTGTTTACAGAAAATTAAGAAAGAGTTGTGCACAACACCTAAAATTTATGAATGATGCTTTTTCTCGGTGATTATACCTATCTATTAGAGTAAAATATAATAAAACATTTGAATTTAGATGCTATATCATATTTAATTCGAGAGCTTAGGTACAGACACACTTTCAATTTGAAGAATGTTCCTTTATAATTTCCTTTTAACATACTGTGTATTTACTACATAGATTTTTAATATTTTTCTTTCATTAAGAGCGCAAAAATATATGCAGCAGTTAAAGATTTATTAAAAAAATGCAAATTTTGTATTAATATTGGACTGTATTCTACTACTAGAAGGATCTAGTTTTCATTCAATTAAATCGTAAAACAGCTACTTTTTTGGCTTATTACTGTACATATATCTACAGGATAAAAAATATACACACATTCACGAATGTTCACAGAGCTATTATATAAAGTTGTAGCGTGGGACAGCGAGGAGGACAAAACAATCATAGTTCCTCCTAGGGATATTCATTCAATGAGGAAGCCTGCTTTCTAGTTTAATTGACATTTATGAGTGAGGTATGTGGTACATATGCTGTCGCTTGACTAACGCATACATCAGTCACATACGAAACCCCATTGTAATATATAAATATAGGGTGGCTGGGCATACATATATACATATATAGATGGAAAAGAAAAACGAAGAAGAAACCTCATGATTAAGACTAATTGTAAGATCAAGAAAAGGGCCTTGTAAAACCGTTTATTCATCTGTCCGTTTGTTTGTCACAACAGAAACCGTTCGATGTGTAGAAATAGAAGAAGTTTTGAAGGGTGCAATTTATCTTGTCTTCTCGATTTTCTATTTTTTTGGGAAAAGAAAAATGTCGTTAAACAGGAGTAAATTGCGACTTAGAAATGTATTCGGTGTGAAATCAAAGCCAAAAATAGGGTTCAAAGGTCCTTACTTTTAAAGAAAAAACCACCAACGTTTCGCCATAGTTACCGGACTTTCTCAATGTTAGTTTTACTACTTTACATCTTCATTATTAACTGTAAAAAACTAGCTTTAAGAAAGCCCAATAACTAACGAATTTTATACATAATTGAGAAAGCATGTGAAAGATTTCCGATGAAAATTTTTATAAGGGACGAAATAAGGCGATAATCTTTTACACTTAATCGAAAATAATTTATAGTGCTAACCCGTATTCCAATTGATTCGTCGATTCTTTTTCTATTAATGATGATAGAGACATGGAGTTGAACGAACTTCATACAGTGTATTTATATTTAATTTACAAATGATTTTCCCTTGTCCCGATGTGATCTAAAGGTACATGAATAATAGATAAGATAACTTGGTAACTTCTTCCTGCGTTGAATACATTATCGGTTCAACACGGAATTTATTAAAAAGTGGAGTAAAAATAATGAAGATATAAACAAGTTCAAATCACATTTACGGCGGGATGATACAAAACTCGAGATATTGTTCTATATGCACCTTACAATTATACATGTCGCTACAAAGATATTTTCATGATGTGTAGGCAACCAACTGTAAAACCGAATATAGGCACAACTACTTTTTCCAATTGTTTAATTCTGCCTGGAATACGTCAAATTTGGCGAATTTTAATTAAAGATTACGGCTAAACGATTACATCCTGTATATCGGAATTAGACCTGTGACACACTTCGACCTTTTTGCCATTATGATTGCAAGGCAAAAACGGTTGTTTTTAGCATTTTAAATTGCAAATTTATTTTAAATCGCTTAATAAAGTCCAGCAAAAATTTACAAACCCCTGTTTTTAAAGAATAAAATCAATCGTAGAATTTCAATTTATCTACAATTATTAACTGATAAGGGATAAATTGCGTTAGGTAATTAAAAATAAAAACATGTAAATTTTTACTGAAACCAAAAAACAGTTCACAGTATTAAAATTCAGTTCAAATTTCTAACTGTTGTTCCGAAACTATATGTTGACACTTTCTTTTTTAACATCTGTTGTTCTGAGAACAAAATATTCAACTATATTGGACACATGACAATGAAATCTTTGGTTTCATACGGTTTTCGGTCCGAACTTGACCATAATACGACCTATAAAAAGCTAAAAACTAGACGCAGACAGTGATAATAATTAATTACCATTGAAAGCGCGCATAGGAATAATGCTATAAATTCGCACGAGGACGAGCAATAATTTTTTTTATAGAGGTGTAATTTAGACGTAAAAATCACTTTAATAATAATCATTCGTTTGCTGTAGAGATTGATGTCCAATTAAATATTTAATGGGAGATATATGGATGCTAACAAGATATTAATAGGCTTGATTAATTAATCAAAAACAAAGTAAGCAAAACCTCTTTTAGTTAG